TGGGTGATGGTGGTGGGGATGGCTTGACGCTGCATCGTCGCATCTCCCATGTGATATGGCCTAACTATGGCAGGAAAATGAAGGTCTGCCTCCCTCCTGGACATGATTCACTCTGGATGATGGTGGGTTGGCAGTTCCGATGCTTCACAAACTGTTTGCATGTGTACATGCAACTAGTTCTGCCACTATGTAAGTGAAGAAAAAAAACAGAAAATATTATTATTTTTATTGAAAAAATGCTGGTGTTAAACATAACTCAAAAAGAAAATCGACACAAATATGTGTGGTGGCCAAACAAAGGTTTACAGTCCATGTGATATTCTCTTCATTTGTTATCTTCTAGCAAAAACTGGAGGATAAAAAACTCATTCCTAATACACCAGTTCAACAGGGTGTGTATTTTACATATTAAAATCCATACCAAAAATGGCTAAGCAAAATTTAATACAATTATTTTTCCCTATGTCATTAACTCCGAAAACACAAAATTCACTCCCAATGCATTAAACCATAATGGAACATTGCAATGTTTTAAAAATCACTTAGGGGTACCAGAATGAGAGCAGGATGACTCCAGTGAAAAAGAAGAAAAAGAAAAACCCAAAATAGCCTAAGTTTCTTTTTCTCCTATTTCTTTAATGGGCAAGATTTCTATACTTTCTCCACTGTATAGAATTTATGTACTTCCCCCTATCCAACCGTCTGTTCTGAATGGACGGTTGAGATGATCCCATTCACAATATGATGCCTCTATATTATATTATTTTTAATTTTTTGCAAGACATTTCGACGTCAAATTTTGGGTGTCCACTTCTCTCTTAAACTCACATATGTAAAAAAATATAAACATAAATATTCTCAATAAAATAAAATAACTTAAATGCCCCTGAAAGTCTTAGAGGCATTTTGGTCTAAATATTCTCAATAAAATAAAATAACTTAAATGCCCCTGAAAGTCTTAGAGGCATTTTGGTCATTGTATTTATTGAAAATATTATTTTAATACTTTTTTAGGTGCGCCCCATTGAGATGATGGTATGTGCCAAATTTTATGTTCATATAATTTGTGAAAGCAATTAAAAAGAAAATACTATGAAGCATCGAATCTAGATCAAACATTCAGTGCCTCACTTGATCTAAATTGGACGGCTGGATGAGGGGAATATACATATTCTATAAATCTATACAGTTGGAAGTCTAGAAACATTTCCCTTCTATAATATCTATTTTCGTCGTTGGGCAGGTCAGTGGTAGGAATCAAACCTGTATATTGTTGCTAAAGTCATCTACTAACTATTTATTTTAGAACTTTCTCATTAAAAAAACCTGAAATAAATCAAGGATTATCATATGTTGCAGTACCAGATTATGAAAATGTCATAGATGTTATATGGTGTATAACAATAAGGAAGAACCAGATCTCCAAAGTGGAGGTGTTTGTGTGCAGTGAACTTTGATTTTTTATAGAAAAATTCATACTATTATTATGAGTTCTAGATTATGAAAATGTTATCAGTGTTATATAGTGGTGTCAACAAGCCCATTAGGCTCGGTTCAGGAATAGTTCAACATGCTGAGTCCTGCTGCTGATCTATTAGACAAGATGAGCCCAAGCTGAGACAAACTCGGCTTCGGCTTGACTTATATGATATGTGTATTACCTATAAGTATTACTACATAAATATAAAATACTATACTAATATGACTTAAAACTAGAAACTTGAAAAAGCCAAAAGAATTCATCCTTCCTTGTGAGCATACTATCCATTTACTTCTTCTGGTAAAACCCGATCTAGGATTAATTGTAGGACCCCAAAATTTGGATATGTAATCTTTTCAACTCATGGACTAATCTCAATTAAAAAAATCCCAATAGCACTCCTTATGGGCATAATTAGAGATCATCCAATTTTTTGACGGTGAGATTTAAGTGCCAAAAACTTAAAATTCAAAATTTATCATTTGAAAATGGTCATCCAGTTGTTTTTAGGTGAATCTCAAATTTTCAGATTGAAAATTTTCTTCAAAGTAGGTCATCTGGCCGAGGGAGCACATGTATAGTATAATGCTTCCCTCGGGAGCATAGCATTTGTGCTCCTTAAAAACCATGGAAATGTATACAATGAGAGTTTATTTTCAATTCAAGGAGGTCAATTATTTTTTACTAGTAGATTTAAAATTGGGTGGTTGATGGTGTGTTATTGTTTAGGCACAATATCCAAAACAAATTTTCTCAAATGTTGTGACACACTTTTAGCTATTGGATATGGTGACACATTTTCATCTATTGGATTTCACTGCCAATAGCTAAAAGTAATTGTGACCTCGTACCAAAAACTAAATGGTTTTATAGTATACAATCCCAAAAAACATTTATACATTATAAACATGGTTAGTGCATGTTCATGATTTGACTCACTCAATTTAGTTATGGCTAAGTAGATTAGTCAAACTAAGCCAAGCTCAGGGTTACCTCAAGCTAAGCCAAGCTCAAGGGTACCTCAAGCTAAGTCAAGCTCAAAGATTTCTCCCCTTAGTCAAGCCATGTACAAGCTAGGTGGCTCAAGCTCAACGCTCGAGTTGAGCTAAAGCCAAGCTCGAGTCGGCTTGTTGACACCCATTTTGCTATACTTCCCGGGGCGACTCTTCTTTGTGAGTGTTCTTTAGTAAATTTAATTTTATTTAATCTCATTTTGCTTTCTTTTAGTTTGGTATAATATAACTATTTTAGTTGAGTGGTGTAAATTGCACCCAGTCTCACTTTGCTGGCATAATCTGCACTATCCAACTATATTGAGTGGTGTAAGACAGTGTTCTAAAAATCGATTCGGCCTCAGAAATCGGCCAAAGGCTAGGTCAGAGTAACTTATAAACCGACCAATGTTAAAAATAATGAAAAACATATAAAAATCTAAAAGAATATGAAAAGTATATTTAAAGCTTGATTAAACAAAGCAAATCCAAATACAGCTGAAAAGTACTAAAAAAATGAATTTAAAAAAATCAATTTGTGCCTAGGCGTGCTTTTAAAATATTAAAAAATATGGAAAAATATAAAAATAAGTATTCATAGCCAAAACACTTTCCAATCTTTGTTAAAATGATAAAAAAAAAATTAAAAATTCATTACAAACAAATCCCTTATTTCTTATGATTTTATATTTTTTGAGTTTTTTTAAATACCAGCAAAATTGGCCAAAATCGGATCGGCTAGTGCCCGGTTCCAATTTGACCAGCCAGTTCCAAGTTGGACCGGATGAGTTTGCGAACACCAGCACGCGATACAGGGCCTGCATGGGACCCCGCCCACATAAGAACCGGATCTGAGCTGAACTTAACCTAGTTTTCCAAGAGTTAATTGAGTTATAGTTGCATTATTATTATTGGTTATTCATCATACCCCATGCATGAGAGAGCAACCCAAATGGATAAGTATTCTGCCCGTTAATACTTTCAAATTGAGTAGTATACTGTTAAACAAAGGTATGTAAATCGTAATCCTGTTCCCTCAATTTATGTGAAGAATTTATGAAGTCATGGAAAATTTGTGCCACCTTGAAGCTTGGGCCTCAAAGGATGAAAAATTGAAAAGGTTAGGAATCGGGCTTGGGCTTGGGCTTGCGCTTGGGATTGGGCATGACCTTGAGTGGGATTGGGCATGACCTTGAGTGATTAGCAGCTGACATTTAGTGATCCTACTGCTGAACTACCAAAAGAAAAATTGAAAATATTATAAAACTTGAGATTTGTCTTAGAAATTCCCAACTTTAGACTGAAAAACAAACCTAGTGTAACCAATCTAATTATAAACTATTTTTAAATCTCATATTTTTAGTATGGAACAAAATTTTATAAGCATTAAAACTTTAAAAGTTTTAGAAATAAAAATAAAAATAAAAGTTAATGCCCTTTATTTTTCCACAATATGTAAAATCTAAAGGGAATCTTTACAATAAAATATGGAATTAAAATTAATAAGAAATCTTTTGAATCCTTAAATTTCAAATAAAAAAATTATTAAAAAATTAATAAAATGGATTTTTTATGTTACTAAATACTCATAATAAGGAAATAGTTTATATAAGGTGTTAACCTTTTATTAGAAGTAAGGTACACCTAAAAAATCCACTCAAAAATATTATTTTGATGCTGAAAAAACCGTACAATTGATCATTTCGATATCGAGATGTATGGATATGAAAGAAAACCTCAAATATCCACCAAAAAATATTACTTTGATGCCAAAAAAGCTTTACATTTGATCATCTTGATCCCGAGATGTATGGATGTGAAAGAAAACAATGATTTTAAGTCCTAAAAATAATACATCTTGTAACATATTATCTAAATCATCCATTTTCAAGATTTTCAAGAGCTTATAGATTTGCTTGACATGCACCATTCATGGACTTTTGAATTTCCTAATTAGGAGTGAAAATAGTTTTTGGCCATCATAAGAATTTTGGAACAATATTTTGTGGTGGATTTTTTACATGTACATTATTTCTAAAGTAAAGATTGACACCTTACACAAACTACACCCCTTAAATAAATCCAAAATATTGTAACATTCGTATATATTTGATGAAACTTTATTATGAAAAGAGACTTAAAGAGATAAAAAATAGAAGAGTATAAGATGAAACCATTTATCTTTGGTATAATGTGGTCACTATTGATCTTGACCGTGAAAATATATTGCTTCATTTATTCTATTGGCTAATTTCAAACTTTAAAAGAAATTTTTTCGAACTTTATGCATACTCAAGCTATCAGATTTCACATTGTGTAAAAAACCAAATGGTTTCATTGCATGCAATCCCATGACAAATAGAAAACAGCATAACAAATAGAAAATGAAAGATTACTACATTGATTTATTAATCTATAAGGAGAAAACACTTGTACAACATGATCCCGCGGTAGTACGGTGTATGCATTTTATCGCAAATTTATTATCCTAGGATGATATCCACTCGATTTCTCAGAGCACCGTCCAAACCTGTCTCTCTCTCTCTCTCCCTCTCTCCTCTCTCTCTTTCCATATTCGCACACTCCCGCCATGGGAGCTCCAGCGATGGTTTCTCTCTCATCAAGGCCCTCTCTCTCTTACCCCCTATCATCCCCACCTCATTCATTCACCCCACATTTCATTTTTTCTCCTCATTCTTCTTCTTCAGTTCTTTTTTCTCGATTCAAAAGCTTCTCTAGAAGAAAGTTACTGCTAAACACAAGCCCTTGTGCACGTTTCAGACCTGTGAACGCTTCTTCTATTGAGAGAAACCCAACGAAATCTGAAGGAAAATGGCTTCTTGAGCCTGTAGGTAAGTGGGTTTTTTTTTTTGTTCATATCGTTATTGTTGAGAGAGGGTGGATTCTTCGGTTCTCCTTCTGTGAAGAGAGAGAAACACTAGTAGAAATATCTAATCATTTTCTTTGAAGTCTGTTAATTTTTTTGATGACCATGTTCTAATTTGGAGCGCATTTGGATTTCTCTCTGTTTGCTTGTCATTTTCTGTAAGTTCTGTTAATTTGTTTGAGATATGTACTTGTTTGGAGCACATTTGAACTTCTCTCTGTTTTAGTGTTCCATTCTAATGGAAAATCAACATACCTCTTGTATGAAAATGGGGGGAGTAATGGTGCAACCATGAGGATTTCCCATTTCTATTCTTAAGAAATTTGGAAGTTATTCAAAAATTAGTTTGTATTTGAACAAATGCGAGTGTGATTTCAATGTAACCTGGATATGTCTACTTTCAGTTTAATTTCAATGATCAAGTTATTAAAAATTAAAATTAGAGGAAGTCATGTTACTCTTGATTTGTACGCATCAAATCAGATTATTCAATTTTTGAGTTTGGAAAATTGACATCGGACGTGTTGTGTGCAAGTATGTCTTGAATTCAATGCTGTAACCTAATATTTATCCTATTTTGATCATAAGCCGTTCTGCTCTCTGGCCTTGTCTGGGGCTATTTGTTGGGAGCGATTGGTGAAAAATCAACAAGGGTTTATAACATTCACAGCTATTGTGCATTCATATCCATATAAACGAACAATAGAAACTACACAATATCAAAGCAAAACCATGAAATGGAAAAACCAGCAATATGCATTCACATAGCACAACAACTTAACATGGTTCTGTCATAAATCGTGACCTACATCCACGGGAGATTGGCACGAGATTTTATTTACTGATTTGGGAAGATTACAAAGTGAAATCGAGCTCAAAACACAAATTTCCAGCAACCATTTCTCACTCTAAACGGAGACCACAAACAAGACACCAAGAACACCCAAAAATAGGTTCTACACTTTCTTTCACTAAAACAAAGCACACAGTAAAGCCATAATGGGCTCAAGCTTTTGCTCACTTTCTCTCTCTAAAACAGAGCATACAACAATCCTAAAGAGAAAACCCAGTTGCAGCCCAATCTCTCTGTCTTTTTCTCACTCTTTCTCTTTCTAAATAAAAAGGGTTTTAATCATTTTAAAAGAGTCAAGTTCCTACAATACCACAACTATTGGATTAGATGCAATCCAATGACCCAAAATAAAAGAGAGAAGAGTCAAATAAAACACCTACATGTGTGATTTGTTTTCACACATGTAACAATCTACTACTGTAAGACAAGTCACTAGGCCTTTAAAACAACCACCAATGCACCATTCTCCATCATCTCGAGGTTATGTCTCCTCCAACCCCGATCCTCCAACCCCGAAAGTCTTCTACACATCCTATTTTTCGCAGTTGAGACAACCTTTGTCAACATATCAACAAGGTTCTTCTCTGTGTGAATCTTGTCCACTTGTAAATCTCTACGCTCGAGGGCCAATCGAATAAAATGGTATCTGACCTCTATATGATTTGTTTTGGAGTGATAAGTTGCATTCTTAGCCAGATGAATAGCACTTTAGTTATCACAATGCACAACATATTTATCTTGTTTCACCCCAAACTGGTCAAGTAACCTTCTCAACCAAATCATTTCTTTTGCTGCCTCTGTCAATGCCACATATTCAGCTTCAGTCGTCGACAGAGCGACAATATCTTGCAACCTTGACATCTAGCTGACTACACTACCACCAACTTTGAAAATGTACCTAGTGGTAGACCTTCTAGTATCACGGCATATTGCATAATCTGCATCTACATAACCAACAACTTCCAATGATGAGTTCCCAAAACATAAGCATACATTTTTTGTCCCCTTCAAATACCGAAGGATCCACTTAACTGCTTGTCAATTTTCCCAACCGGGATTAGACATAAATTTGGAAATAGCTACCATTGCATGGGTAATATCAGGTCTAGTACAAAACATTCATCTTACTTCTATCTACCTCATTCATTGGAGAGTCCCTTTTAGACAACGTGAAATGGGTAGTTAATGGCGTAGAAACAAGTTTACAGTCAATCATATTGAAGCACTCAAGAACTTTAGGAATATATTCAGATTGACTTAACCAAAGCTTACCTTGCTTTATGTTTTTATGGATGTGCATGCCCAAAATCTTCTTGGCTGGTCCATGATCCTTGGTGACAAAATGCTTGGACATATCAAGATTTAAACACTTGATTTCACTCAGATCATTGCTAGCAACAAGCATATCATCAACATAAAGCAACAAAATAGTAAAAGAATCATAGGTTGAACCTTTTAAGTACACACAATGATCAAAATCGCATCTCCTTCACTCAGCATAAAACTGTCAAATTTCTTATACCAATGCCTAGATGTTTGTTTCAAACCATACAATCCCTTTTTTAACTTGCAAACCAACTTAGGATTGGTTTTGTGCTCAAAACCTTCAGGTTGACATATATAAATTTCTTCATCAAGATCACCATGCAAGAAGGCAATCTTAATATCAAGTTACTCTAGCTCCAAATTCAAGTTAGGAACCAAAGATAAAACAACTCTAATAGAGCTATGCTTAAGAACATGAGCAAAAATTTCATTAAAATCAACAGCTGGCTTTTTGCCCATAACCTTTCACCACAAGTCTGGCCTTATATTGCATGAGACAATTTGCCTCCCACTTAATAGCATATACCCACCTATTCTTCAATACTTTCTTCCTATGTGGAATTTCCACTAACTCCTGCGTATCATTCTTATGCAAAGCATCAATGTCCTCCTCCAGTGCCTTATACCACTTTTTAGCATTAGGGCAATAAATAGCTTCTTGAAAAGATTCAGGTTCACCACTATCAGTATACAAAGCATAATATAAAGAAGGATAATACCTTTGTGTGGGCTTGTGAGGCCGTGTAGATCTTCTTAATTCTAGTTCAGGTGTAACTGATAGTCCCTCTTCATATTGAATTAATTTTGTGTCATCCTCATAATTAGCATCACCTCTATCAAAACTGTCTTGAGCTTGAGCTTCAGTCTCTTGCACTTGTCAAGGTGAAACAATGGGATTTGGTTTTTGTATATTCACAATAAGTCTTTCTTGTTTTGGCTCTTCTTGCTTCTTTTCAGTAAACATTACATTCTCATTAAAAAGAACATCCTGACTTCTGATAGTTTTCTTTGCAATAGGATCCCAAATCCTCTAACCTCTATCATCACCACCATACCAAGAAAAACACATCTTCTTGACTTGACATCTAGCTTGACTCTACTTTCACTTGGCACTTGAACATAAGCTTCACACCCAAATATTCTCAAGTGTTCATATGACACATGTTTTCCTCTCCACATAATTTCAGGCATTTCACCGTTCAATGGTGCACTGGGAGATCTATTAATCAAATATACAACTGTATTAGCAGCTTCAGCCCAAAATTACTTACCAAGACCAGATTGTGATAGCATGCTTCTTACTCTTTCAATGATAGTCCTATTCATCATCTCAATGACACCATTTTGTTATGGTGTCCCAGGAACAGTCCTGACTCCACGAATGTCATTCTCTCTACAAAAAATACCAAGAGCATTCGAGCAATATTCACCACCATTATCAGTTTACCGGCATATTATAAATCTTTATGTTTCTTTTTCAACCTTGGCTTTGAAAACTTTGAAGACTTCAAAACCTTGATCCTTAGATGCCAAAGGATACGACCAACACTTTTTAGAATATTCATCTAAGAAAGTGACAAAATAAGAAGCTCCACCAAGAGATTTAACATTAATGGGGCCACAAAATTCAGACTATATCAATTCTAATGCTTTACATTTTCTATGAGATTCATTTGTTTTAAAACTAACTCTACACTGTTTACCCATGGCACAATGATTACAAAAATCAAGAAAGGAATGTTTAGAAATAAAAATAAGATTTTGAGTTTGCAATACCTTCATACCATGCTTACTGAGATGACCCAATCGACTATGCCAAATCTGTATGTCCTTTTGCTTACTAGTTGTAGCAACGATCTTCTCTGTAGCATCATTCCTTTGAGCTGTGCCATGAAGAGTGTAGAGACTTCCCGCATTCACTATTGTCATACAACCTCTTAAAATCTTTTATGACCCATTTCCAAAGGTCACTATGAGGCCATAATCATCTAATTACTGGCTGAAATGAGATTTTTCTTCAACTCAAGAACATGCCTCACATTTCTCAATGTGTGCTTCTTTCCATCTGATTGCTGATAACAACATTTTCAATGTCCAAAATTTTCCAAGCTCTATCATCACCAAGATAAACCAAGCCGCCATCCACATCTGTGTAGGATGAAAAATATGATCTTTTTGGGCAAACATGAAATGAAGCACTAAAATCTAAAACCTAAGTATCTTCAATAGATAGTGCTGTGCATGCAACACTAAAAGTGACCCCATCTTCACAATCTGAAACTGTACTTGCTTCGGCATGACCATCTCCCTTGGCCTTTTGTTTATTCTTTAGAGCATAACAATATTTTCTTGTATGACTATGTTTTTTGCAATACCAGCAAGTAACCTTCTTACCCTGTGACTTGGATTTGCCTCTGCTATGAGATTTACCCCTATTAAATCCATAATGTTGATCTCTATGTTGGGTTCTTCCTCTATCTCTTGATACTATGTGTGGATGCCTCTCTAGTCTCTTCATTCAATAGTGAAGCCACAACATCTTTCTAATTAAACTTGTTACCCATTGTATTAGTCACAGTGGTAACCAAGGTATCCCAACTAGCAGGCAAAGAACTTAGCAAAAGCAAACATAAAACTTCTTCATCCAAATTCACTTTCAAAGACCTCAATTATGCAGAAATTGAATTAAATTCATTCACATGCGATCTAATTGTAGCACGTTCTTTCATTTTCAAAAGAAATATTTTTTTCATCTCATGCATTTTATTTGCACTAGAGGGTTGCTCAAAAGATTGCTCTAGAGATTGCCAAAGCTCTGCAGATGTTTTACATTGACAAACATCAAATAAAATTGATGGTGAAATACATGCTCTAATAGCTGCCAAACATTCTCGTTCAAGAATATCTCATTCCCGATCTTCCATTCCATCATGCATGGCCTCTTTTCCTCGAATTGGCCTATCCAATTCTTTTCCAACAAGATAATCTTCCATCATCATTTTCCATATTGGCTAATTGCTTTGATTTAATTTTTCAAATTCCATTACTCATTTCCATTTTAAGGAAAATTATAGTAAATAACCACAATAGCAAAAAACCCTTTCTTCACAGACACAATGAAGAACAAACTCTAGGCACTAATACCAGTTGTTGGGAATGATTGGTGAAAAATCAGCAAGGTTTTATAACATTCACAACTATTGTGCATTCATATCAATATAAGCAAGCAATAGAAACTACACAATATCAAAGCAAAACCATGGAATGGAAAAATTCAGCAACATGCATTCACAGAGCTCAAATTGTGACTTACATCCACGGAAGATTTGCACAAGACTTACTTACTGATTTGGGAAGATTGCAAGGTGAAATCGAACTCAAAATTCCAATTTCTAGCAGCCCTTTCTCACTCTAAACAGAGCCCAAAAACAAGGCACCAAGAGCACCAAAAAATGTGTTCTCTTTGACACTTTCTCTCACTAAAACAGGGCACACAGCTAACCCACAATGGGCTCGAGCTTTTGCTCACTCTCTCTCTCTAAAACAGAGTATGCAACAGCCCTCAAGAGAAAATCCAATTGCAGCCCAATCTCTCTATTTTTTTCTCACACTCTCTCTAAACAAAAGGGTTTTAATCCCTTTAAAAGATTAAAATTCCTACAACACCACATCCATTGGATTAGATGCAATCCAATGGCCCAAAATAAAAGAGGGAAAATTCAAATAAAACACCCACATGTGTGATTTGTTTTCACATGTAACACTATTTTCAGGGTACTTTTCGGGATATGCGTATGAGTGAGGATGCTAAGTTATGTGTATTTGGCTCGGAATCGATATTCATTGTGTAAGAGCCATCTTGTAATTTTGGAGCTTCTATAGTGAAGCCATTGTTCCTCTTCACCTAATAACGTAGTGACATTAGTGATGGACCACTTAAATCTTGGTGTTCTTTTTTGCAATTTTTAGTTTTCTTGTTCTGTTTGCTTTGTTTTGTTGATGTTACTTGTTGTTCTCTCTTGTTTTTGTCATCAACCCCATCTGCTAGGGTATATTGTAGAATACTGGAATTTAAGCTTTGATAATCATAAAACCTACAAAGAGTTAGTACATAAAATAAGCACCTCCTGTTGTTCATAGAGTTTTCCCATTATAATGATATTTATTAGATACTTGACATAACACTGATCAATGCTTTATATTTTGAACTTTACTTGTTGGTTCTATCGAACAATTTGAATTGGTTATTTTCTATCATACTGCATTCTTTGGAACCAAATTCTAACATTTGACAGTCTTGCCTATCTGTTTACGTGCTTTATGATATATTGATATGTATAAATAGAAACAAAAATCTTCCAGTCTTAACAAAGTAGAGCTATTACATTGGTCTTGAAAATAGAGACAAACATCTCCTATTCTTAACAGAATGATCCCATTACAATGGTTTTGTTGTATAACCAAAACATGGATGAGTTTTGAATTGCGATTCTTTTAAAGAATATCCATTGTTTTCTTTTGCACGTTCTTGCCTTTGTAGATAGGACACCAATTGGTAGTATGACTTCATTAATACTCTTTTTGTTTCATCTTTCTAAGTGTGGGTTATATGTACTAGGTGATGGTGATTCGAGGCACATAGGCTATAAAGTTCCACTGCCAGATGCATTTGAAATAGCATCCGTAAGTTTTTAATGAGGTTAACCAGAAATACAATATCCTTATGAAAAGAAAAAATATACAATAACACCATTTACTTTTGGTACAAGGAGGTCAAATTGTCCTTGGCCATTAGATTTAAATTTGGATGGCTGGAGGTGTGCCATTTACTAGGCTCAAAATCCAAAAGAAAACCTATCAAACTTTATAACACACACCAAGCTATTGGATTTGACATTGGACGGCTAGGGGTGATTGTGACCTCCTTGTTTCAAAAATAAATGGTCTTATAGTATACAATGTGAAAACTAGAAGAGATATATTTTATCTATTTGTAAGTATCTTTGTTATGGACATTTTCCAGAATGTGGTAACTGTGGGCCGTCTTGCAGAGAAGGCAGATATGGTGATTCCAGTTGCTACAGGTAATTTCACTGTTTTTTTTAATAGTAATTAGTTTAGCATACAACTCAAGATGATAGTTAGGAACAAAGTCTTAAGTGCTCCACAATTTGGTATTTAGTTCGTTCTTAAGAATTATTCATCTGAATCATCTGAAGAAAATATGAGGATAAATGTAGGGAATGCTTTGGAAGTTTCACTTTGCATAACATAGAGTAACTACTTCAACTTAAATGGTTTTTCCTTCGATTTAAAGTTCAGTTTTATTTCACAAATCCAAATGCTGATCATACACCTTTCACTTTTTGGGTGCATGTATTATAAAAACCCACATGTACATGTGTGTATATAACATGCATGATACTTAACACGTGCACGAATAGATGCACGCATGCATACACACCTATGCATGTGCACATGTACATATTTAAACCTGGAGGCACACATGCATGTATTTATGCTGTATGTATATGTTATCATCAATATAAAAAATTCAGTGATTCTGATATGGATTTGCCCTAGTTACTCTGAAGAAACCTTGGGAACCAGCTGAGTCTCAGTTTCCTCAATTTTATTGTTAATTTTTTTAAGACTAGGCCAAGTCTCTGACAGACTCAGCCAAGTCGAGTTACCTGACTCTGGTTTGGGACCTTAGTGAATCCTGACCTGAGTCCTTGCTTTAAAAACACTGGATATCATGTGTGTGCAAATTTTTTTTTTTAACAAATTTGTATGTACTTGGTAACTTGCCTGTGTAACGTATCTCTAAGGAATTTTAAATTACTTAAATGTTACAGTATCGGGCTTACATGCTCGGCTTGAGAAGAGAGAAGGAAATCTCATGGTCACAGACTTGGATAGTACCAATGGGACATATATCAATGAAAAGAGGCTTAACCCAGGGATTTCTGCTGCTGCATCACCTGGCAGTTGTATTGTATTTGGTAGATTTTCCTGACTCTTGATAGTCATCTATGCTCCATTTGATAGGAAAAAAAATGGTCATTTCTGTTTGTCTATGTTAATATGAAAAATGGATATTTCATCTGGGTACCTGATTCACATGATATATGTGTAACCTCAGGTGATACACATCTTGCGGCATTCCGTTTATTGAAGCTCGAGTCAGAGGATGAACCCTCTGAACCAGAAACACCCAAGGCAGTGCTTGAGACTGTTGATCTTCCCAACAATTCTTAACCCTTGAGTTAAGATCTGTATATTTTCCTTAATTAATTTGTAATATAAACTTGAACCCTTTTCTTCAGAATCTGTGTCGAGCTTGTACCATGGAGAAATCAGGAAGTTTAGATGATATCTATTATTATTTGCTTAAATAAATGCTCAAAAATGGTAAAATGTGTTTGGATTTGTTAAAGAATTCTATGAGGTATAACTGCAAGCCATAAAAGGAATATGTATACTTGCCATTAGAGTAGATAGTTGTACTTATCATGCTAATAGCATTCTGTTTGATAGTATTGGTTCTAGAGTGAAATTTCCTGAATATTTGTTGGTTACAGGCGAAATGATGATGTAATTGTTTCTTTTCTTTTTTTTTTGTGGTTTTGGGTGGGAGGAGGGGTGGTCCGTGTAGGAGATTGTCAAGACTGGAGAACATCATGAAATCATGCTATTGTGATGGTTTTTTTTGTACCATCTATGTTTTAGAACGATATTTAACGTTTCATTTTTTTTTGGTAATGCTATATGAATCTAGCAGTCCTTCTTGGTTTGTGAAACTTTATACTCTAAGTAAGAGGCAGCTCAAAATTACCTCTCTCTTCATCTTCGTTGCCTATGAAGTGACTCTACTATGCCACCTAACAATCCCATTCCTCTTCCAATGATCAGAGATAGTTCAAGTAATTCAACCAAGGAACAGGTGGAATCTACTCATAGACAACTGAAAGTGTATACCTGGAAAAAGAACACGGTAAAGTCTGAGGTAAACAATTAAACCCCAACTTGTTGACATCCAACCAGTATGTTTGTTTCTTATGCTTCACTTTCACCTTCCTTTCATGCATATCTTTGCTGTACTTCTTCTATTTCTATTCCCACTAAAGTTGCCGATGTATTGGCTCATCCACGATGGAAAGTGGCCATGATTGAGGAAATGATTGCCAGAGAAGCAGTGAATTTTGGATATAATTAATCGGCCAAAAGGACATTTGGTCGGATGCAGGTTGAGAAAAGCTATATATGGATTGAAACATGCACTTCGGGCTTGGTTTGAAAATTTTAGTATGGCAGTATATTTGTTTGGATTTCAGAGAAGAGTTTTATATCATTCGGTATTTGTTAAAGGAGATTCTTTTTCATAGTGATAATGTATGTGGATGATATAGTGCTTACGGGAAATAATGATCACGAGATTAAAAAGTGAAAGATTTCTTTGGGGGCGTTTTTGACATCATGGATCTTGATCTTTAGAAACTTGAACGCATTAATTGTAGGTAGACGTTCCCAAATATATCAAATCTGGATTCCAACGAGGATTAAATCATGATTCCACATCAAATAGAGTAGAAATTTTCCTTCGAATGCTTGTAGTGGTTCCAGAGTTTCATTATTTTACTTGTCCTTTACTTTAAATTAAAATATAACTGGTAAATACAACACATATAATTAAAAGTAAAACATATTTGTCTTTTGTATAATAATGAAGTCAAAATAACAGTCAAAATCATATTTTGTTTTTATAATAATGAAGTCAAAATCACAATTTAGAAATACTCGTCTTTTGTATATAATGACTGTGAATTCAATAGTCAACACAATCACTTTAATCATATATTGTCTTTTGTCTTTATAATAATGAAGTCAAAATCACAATTTAGAAATAATCGTATTTTGTCTTTATAATAATGAAGTCAAAATCACAATTTAGAAATAATCGTATTTTGTCTTTATAATAATGAAGTCAAAATCACAATTTAGAAATACTTGTCTTTTGTATATAATGATTGTAAATTCAATAGTCAACGCAATCACTTTAAAATTAGGAAAACCTTCTAATAAGAGACATCCAATATAGGTTTTAAAGTTGATGAGGCTCAAGAGGTGCTTGTGGCTTCCTTCTCCATAAAAATGAAATCTCGATTCCTGGTAGGGGTCGTCAAACGCATTCCATAGTCCATATTATTGTAAATCTCAATGCCAAATTGGTATGGATCTTTGATCCATATACTTCAGAAACTTGACTCCAAATATGTTAGAATCATGATTCGAAACCACAACATACTCTGTTCCACATATGTCAGAAACTCAATTCCATAGATGTCGGAAACTCGATTATGCATATTAATGAATCTTGACTCCTGGAATGTCGATTCCAAGGGGTTGGGAATCTTAATTCCATATGTGGATGAAACTTGGATCTATTTCAGTCGAAACACGATTCTCAAAAACTAGGAATCTCGTTCCTAGCGATTGCTATTGTGCGAACAATGATTCCAAAGACATGAATATTCTAGCCAGCCGCGATTTTGCGATTCCGATTCTTAAAACGATTCGGGTTCCCAGGCATTTCCAACAACTATGAGTCAAATAAATAAGTCTACCCACTAATCTCTGATATACACTAGGGTTATTCAGAGGCTCTGGCTGCTGATCATATAATTTGTGGCTAAGCTCAATAGGGTAAGAATAGACCTAGCCACCTCTATTCCAAGGAAGTATTTCAATGAATGTTGGATCGAGATTCTGAAATTAAGGAATCGAGTTTTCTCGGTTCAAATAAATGGTTTCTAAAGATGTGTTGAATCGAGATTCCGAAATTAAGGAATCAAGTTTCCTTAATTCCAAAAAATTGTTTCGAAAGATGTGTTGAATCGAGATTTGGAAATTATGGAATCGAGTTTCCTTGGTTCCGAAAAACGGTTTCCATGGAGATTCCTTAACAGAAACGCGGAATATGGTTTTGCGCAAGGTCGGTGGAGAGATTCCGGTAACTATGATTTGACTATTAGACGGCCGGACATTACATATGCTATAAGTGTCGCAAGTCAATTTATGTCGGCACTATGCTCTGATCACTTGGAGGCTATTTATTGCATTTTACAATATCAGAAATCTGTTCTAGGTTGAGGACTACTTTATACTAGTTATGGTTGCCTTGATGTACAAGCTTTTTATGATGTAGATTGGGTTGGGTGTTCTCTTGTTTCTACAATGTAGATTGGGCTGGGTGTTCTCTTGATCGATGACCGACCAGTGGCTACTTTGTAACAGTGGGTGGTAATTTAGTCACCTGAAAGAATAAGAGGTGGAGTGTTGTAATTTGATCTTCAGCAGAAGCTGAGTATCGAGCAATGGCAAGTCTAGATGTGAAATAATTTGGCTCTGTTCTCTTCTTTAAGAGATGGGTATTAACGTATTAGCTCCTATTCCTCTACATTGTGATAATCAAATGACAATTCATATTGCCTCAAATCCTTTATTTCATGAAAGAACCAAGCATATTGAAGTCGACTATTATTTCGTCAAAGAGAAGGTCGCTTCAAAGACAATATGTACTCCATTTGTTCGATCTGAGAATCAACTAGCAGACACACTAAGGCCTCTAATCGAGTTCAACTAAAGGATACTTTGGACAGGATGCCCATCTAGGATTTATATGCTCCAATATGGGGGGATTGTTGTGACTGTAACAGTTTTGTAATAGTCTTGCATAATGGGCTGGAATAGCCATGTAAAAGCCTTGTATAATGCGATGTAACAACTATGTAATAGTCTTGCATAATGGATTATAACGACTATGTAATACTCTTGTATAATTAGATGGAACAACCATTGTAACAGTCTTACATAATGAGCTGTAACAATTATGTAAATGTCTTGTATAAGAGGCTATAATAGTCATGTAACAGTCTTGCATAATGGGCTGTAACAGCCATGAAATATTAATGCATAATCCTAGAAAAAAAATAAAAAACAAAAAAAAGAGGAAAAATAAGGGTAATCCTAGAAAGATAGGATTAAATATCTCAATATATTTTGCTTTCTGCAAGATTTTCAGGATGTTATTGATGTATGGAGTTCTTTATTCAATCGTCCAACTCTCTCTGTGTATCTTCGCGATGCCACATGGCTATGGCTAAAGTCCATGGAGGTGGTTATTTAACACTGCTTAACTGCTAGTAAGGTTCTCATATGAGTTTTAATGGTGATTTACTATGCTTTGTTCTTTTTGAGGCCACATTATGCACAAGACTTCTCTGAAAAGGCTTTAGGGTAGGTATAGGCATCTTTTTGTTGGTTTCAATGCATGGTTGATGCTGATCATGTTGCGAGCTCCTGGTTATAATTTATTCACTGTGGAGGAAAAGGTCTCCTAGAATCATGCTCTACTCCCATAAAAAATATTTAACTACTGATGATTTACTTGATTTCGTAATGTTGATTTTGTCGCCTTTTGTTTCTTTCGACATTAGCTATTGGGTCCCCAGGTCCTAGCGACTAAGCCTAGAGAATTATAGCCTTGTCTGCTATTATTCAATTATAGTTGTTTATGCAAATGTTCAAATGCATGCACCCTTAGTGGTTTATTTCTTCTCTCTTAAATATTGCTTATTTTTAGCTGTCCATTTATGGGCCAAAACAGTGGACATGTTCTTCTTGAAAGAGTACAGAACAAGCAGTTGCAGTGAATGAAAAAGTGCAGTGCAAGTAATCACGAAAACCTCCATTGCACACCCAAAAACTTAAGTAGCATGCTCAGTATTTGGAGAATTTACATGGTTCTCTTACTAGATGCAAAAAGGAAAAGAAAAGCAAGGAGACCAGTTTCGGAGCTTTGGGGTGTTCAGGTAAGGTTATTCTCCATCATAATTTTGAACTCTTCATAATCAATTCTACCATCTCTGTTCTCATCAAAAGCTCGTATCATCTTATGACATTGTGCTAAGTCCATTGCCTCTCTCAACCTTAGAATACCCATTACTCTCTGTAAATCCGCTGCGTCTATGAACCCATCTCTATCCTCATCGAACACATGAAACACCTCCTTCAGTTCCTCTACGCTTGCTTCCTTCTCCTCCAGCATGACTGCAATATCACTCAAAAGCTCACAGTCGCAAGTTTTTTCACTGTGGCCTTCTCTCTCATCTCTGCCAATTCCTAGTCCAAGTATTTCGGTAACCATCTTAACATCATCTATTGTTAGCTCCACTTCGCTATATATATCATGAGCATTTGAGATACTCACCTTTCGGTCCATATTACATGATGTGCAGTGTTCTAGATTGCTTGTATTGCTTTCTCTCTCTTCTCCAGCAGTTAACCATGGGTGCGTATCCTCCTGCTCACGTGGGTGAGCAAGGGATCCAACCCATGCACGTAGTCGACATCGAATTCTCATGCAAGTTTGCTGGAATTCGATGATCCAATTGATTACTTGATACATACAAAAGAACCCATCTATATCACAGAGAGAAACATAAATGCTCACCATTGTTACTTACCCAGCTAACTTGTGTACAGTGGAGGGGAACTTGTGATACTTGGAGTCAATCGACACTGCTTTATATTGGTGTTTTGAAGTGGAAAATGATTTTGGAAACACGAGATAGGGAGAAAGGGGGAAGTTTCTTTGCTAATTCCATTGAAGCCAACCTCTAGTGATTTTCTGTTTTGTTTTTCCTTGTGTGAAAGGTAGGGAAAACCAGGGGGTGGGTCTAAAGTGTTGTTGTTTTGCTTCCTTGTGCTTCGGGGCAGAGCAAGGTGACTTAATTGCTTTTGTGGGTCTTCTTGGTCTTGCAGGGGTCTTATTTTTCATTTTCTGAAGTTTCTTGGAAGCTGAATGTGGAGACGTAGACTAATGTTACCTGGAGTGGGGTCCTGACATTTCATTGTAGGGAGTGGAAATCCCCTGTGATATCGAATGGGGAGAGAGAGAAAGAGGTTTTGTCCTAAATATTGAGAAACATATATATATATATATATATATATATATATATATATAGAGAGAGAGAGAGAGAGAGAGAAGAGAAGAGNGAGAGAGAGAG